GAACTTAGCTGCCATGAGAGGAAGGCATACTTTCTCTTCCAATACTTATAAGAAATGAGGCAGAAATACCAATGTACAATGACATCCTTTACTTCTTGGGCCTGAATGGGAAGCCATTCTTAGATTAGGACAATTTTGTCTACTGTGTGAAGTATGAGCCCAGGTTAAAAATAGAAGGAGTTCACCTGAAGTAGAGCTTGCTCATAACTGCATGAAAGGAATGAATTAAGATAATGGACAAACATCATTATGACATTTTCTAACTTTCAACCCCTTCATTGATGCTTCAGCTCCTTGTCACATCTTTCTTTGCTCTTGCCTTTCTCTCTTTTGCCAGATTCTAATTACAGATTTTTTTGTGCAGCTAGTCCCTTTGCATGTCTGTTCACTCTGTGAAGATGCCATATATGCACTTACTCAGCATTCAAGGCCGTGAGGAGTTTAGGCATGATGAACAAACACAGGCTTCTATGGGATATGAGCTGTTATTGAGTGTATGCAATCCATACTTTTCCAGGCCTTTGAGTATGGCCAAATGTGCAGGAATTTTCACAAGAGTGGCAAAGGTACAATGTCCAAATACAAATGATAACTCTATAAAATATCATGTCCCTGATCTGAAAAGTAAGAGTGTAAGGATATTTCAAATGTAAGATCTTAAAGGTAAAACAAGACTTATTTCTAACCTTTATTATAATGTCCTCCTCTTTCACTGTTGGTTTCATAGTCAGTATATATTTGAATAAAAGTGGGGAAAAAAATGCAAACCTAATCACCACCTCAAACCCTGAAAGACATAGCTAACATAGAAACATCACAGCCCAAATGCTTAGTTTCACAAAATTACACATTTACAAATTGCAAGCATGGAGTGTATGGCTTGCAGAACAGTAATCAGAACAAGCAAACCCACTGAAGTAACAAGAAGCATTATTTGGCAAGTATTCTTCAGACTGGTAAGTGTCCCAAATGCTACTATTTTAGAAAGGTCATACCTTTATTCTCTGTCAGGATTAAGGCTATGGTGTTACTGTCATTGTGAAATAGCTATCAGTTGCATTACCATTTCTGGGAGCCCATGGTGACATCCTACACAGATATGAGAAATTCTTGACCTAGAAATACTTAAAACACACAGTTTTGTTTAACTTTTCTCTGTTGGTCAACATTACAAATTCTCTGAGCATAGCTAAGGCTCTCACTGGTCTGGATATCGGTAATCCTGTGCATGTGTTATCTCCTTTAACATGTGTAAGCTGTATCTCCTTGTATCCTTAAAATTGTGTAAGAAGTCCCACTCTCAGGTTTGAAAGTTAACTCTCCACAAGTTTTTGCAGAATTATTATCAAAATAATTACTGTTGAGTTATGCTGCTAGTAGCTCTGTTAAACTTGCAGGTATAGAAACACTGAAAAGTGACTGGTTGGCTGGTTTGTTGGTTTGTTTTCCCCATTATAAATCCAGTTTGTTCATAGACTTCCTATATGTTTTAATTACTTATAGCAAAGATACAGTGATGCTGTTGCAAAGAGGCAACAGTGATATGGTGGAAGAGGCTCATATGAGCACTTGGATTAGCAAAGCCAAACAGCAATCCTCAGTGAAGAAAGCCAACCTCCTTTATAACTTTTATAAATTGGAAATTTCATCAGAAAATGCAAATTTTCCCTTGAAATAGCAAACAAATCTTTGAAATAACAGTAACGATGAAAAAAAGACGAAAATATCAAACAATCAAAAAAGAATATCAAACAAAATATCAAAAAGTAACACTTTTTGTTTTCATTTTTAACTGAGCTCGTTGGATTGCAACACTCAGTCATGATCTCATGCATAGAGACAAGTCATCAGCTGACCAGCTTCCTGCAGGGCAAGGGAGCCCATACCAGTCCATGTCCTTGTGGGACCAAAGCACTCCAAAGTTATTGCTGACTGGCAGCACAAGAGCTTTCTTTTCTAACTTTTATTGAGCTTGGAATCATAACCTCCATAGCCACTTTTTTTCCTTAAGAGTTAAAACAGATGCATAGACCTGGGGCCTGTAAGCTGGGTGGAGTGGTGAACATGCATGGCTGTTTATGGTTTAGAAGGAGCACTTGATCTGAAACATGTACTGAAGTAATAATAAGAGACAGGATGAACTACACAATTCACGTCCAAGGCAGCATAAATGGGTCTTCCATTATTACATTTCTTTGGCATGTTTGAAAAGTCATTCCCCTGTGCATGGACATTCTAGCTATGACCTGGGAGAGTGTCCAGTGATGACTCATCTGTTAGAATCATTGAAAGGGGGATAAAGAGACAGTAAAAACATCACATAAACCGTATCATTCATGCCATAAAACATAACGGATAGTTCTCATGTAAGTTAGATTACATGAAAACTCTTTCTACAGCACAAAATGCAGAGATTTCACACAAGGTAACTAGACACATTCACTGCCCAGATTCATAAAGCATGGTTGATTGTGGACAAGCCATGACCATCGGGATGAAATTTAACACTCATAACATGAGGTGGATTATTTCTGTTTTCTGCTTGCAATGTTTGACAGAATCATGTAGCTTGTTACAGCACATGAATAAAGTAAAAATAATAGACATTTAACCAAGTTTTAGGGTTCTTTCAATTAAATCCATTTCATATTGAATACATACTCTGTTTTGATATTTTAATAGCCATATATATTATTTTGTACCTCCCTGTGATAATAATTTCATTAGTTCCATTAACTATAAGGTATTTGGGAGAATTATTCTTTTTTCTAAATTACAAACTGATAAAACTAAATTTGCCTAGCAAGTGTCTTGAATTAGAATAGGCAAAAAAGAGGAAAAAAAATGATCTATTTTTGTTTTCTGCTTTCCTTCTAAACCAGGTGATGCTGCTTAGATTCTTTTTCCTCCTAATTTACATTTAACTTGGCTGCTGATAATATGTCTCTAATTTGTAATTTCAACTGATTGCTGATGACGTACATGGGTTTGAAGTGAATCCTATAATCAGCCTTCATTTTCAGGAGTGACTTAGGATTTTGGCTGCCCATCTGAAAAGGATCTGATTTCTTTTATAGAAATTATTGAAACATTCACCATCTGAACCTGTAAAGATTCCTACAGTGTCTAATCACTGAATCACTCACAGTCCTTGGTTACTTCAGATAATTTAGGTCCACCACCTTTAAAGACTTGTGCTTTTCTTTTGTTTTACAGGTTTTCTTTGGTTTTGAATATACCCATCATGACCTCCTTTAAAGTAATTAAAACTCTGTGGTAATAGAAAATCTTTCAGGCAACCTAATTGTTTTCCTATTTGGGCGATCATTTTAATCATTTACATTATATTTGATTTATTATACTCATTTTTTACTCAGAATTATTTCTATGCTTAAGGTATGACATCAATGGAATAGACCATTACGATGGGGAAATGCCTCCCTTATTTTCATAAATAATGATGGGAATTCATGCAATTGTAAAACAAACAAACGTCAAAATGTAGACAAAAGGATTGTTCTCCAGTCAGACGGAATCAGTTCTGTGAAAGAGACTTCTGCAGCTCTGTCTTGTATGCATGTAATAATTTGGGTGGTGCAGTAAGTAAGGTGAAAGTTGCATCTTGTACCATTGTGGAACTGCTGCGCTCCCACTGCCAGGAATGACAGAACCTGTCCAGTTCTTCATCCAACAGAAAAGGATGTTGCCCACGCGGATAAAATTCTCTTTAATTTGGCACAGCTTATATCTTTTTCAGTCTGTGATTAGCAGTTAAGTTCAGCTATTTGGCAGTCTGAGTGATTATCAGGAGCTCTTTTCAGATTCTATTTAGTCTTTGTCTCAGCCTTGTGAAGGTATTTGGCGTTTGCTTAGTGCAACAAGCACTTTCTAGATGGCTTCTTACTACAAGGAGCACGAAGATTTTAGTCAGAGAACTTCCCTCAGTGCAGATGTTTTTCAGGGTGTTTTGAACACCTAACAGAGTCAAGGTTAGTCTCTTGTCTAAACGTTATTAACATACATAGGCAGAAAACAGGGAAGAGAGAAGGAAACATTCACTGCAGGAGGAAGCATTCTTTATATATGCTGTAAACACCTTCTCTTGTGTACATAAATATAAATATATTACTGTGAGTAATCTGTAGGATATCAAAATCCATTTTTATCGAGCTAAATATTTTCCATAGTATTCTATATAAACACATGTATACTAAGCAAACTCTAAGTATCATCATTTTATCTGGTTTTGAAGACAAAATGAACAACATTTTAATGTAAGATGCTAGAAGCACAGTTATTTGGAGCAGGCGATAGCAAGTGCAATAGGATTACTGAGCAACTATTTTCCCCTCAGACCCTGTAAGAGGGAGAGAAAAAGGAGAAAACAGAAACAGCTTAACTCACCAAAAATCAAACCACTGCATTGCCCTCTTAGCCACTGAGTGTTTTGGGATGTAAGACCGAAGATTACATCAGTACAATAAAGGCTCCCTGCTCTCTCTACAATCACAAGCTGTACACTATGCCAAAAAAAAAAAAAAAAAAAAAAAAAAAAAGCAGCAGCGCAGCTTTACTCCAGCATCAGAGTCAGTAGAAGTCAGAACAGGTAGAGAGGTGTAGAGAACAGGGAGAGAGAGGGAAGGGTTAAAAGCATTATCGCAGCCACAAAGGGGGGCCGTTTCCCCCTTTTTTAATTTTTTTTTTTTTTTTTTTTTTTTTTTTAGTCTGAATCTGGACTTCAAGCAACACAGCGCCTGAGACAGCTCATCTGAACCACTGTATTGCAATACTCGCTCTTCCCAAAGAAAAAGACTCCACTGAGTAGCAGAATGCTGCCAGTGTCGCAGCTAGGGCTACAGTACAGAGCCTTTTTGTAACATTTTAAAATCTCTTTCTATTCATATATTTAGAGATACATACATACACTCATACATCAGTTCTTCATTTTGAGGGCACCTTTGGCTTTTGTTACCCTGATGTGACTTCTTCTTCGTCTTGGAATGATGGGGATCTTTCTAGCTTATGTTGGAATCATTTTCTTTTCAGTAATGTATATTCAACAAGGACTTTCTACCCAAGGTAAGATCACTTATTGTCAAATATGTGTGTGTGTTTTTCTATGCTAAAACAGCCTGAGAACAGG